ACAGGTTCATTTGTTTGACTTTGCATCACTTCTTGTCATATCAACGTGCACTGCTCTAAGCAATCAGTCTGCCACGTCTGGCTGTGACCAGTCGACAACAACACCAAACCACAAGAACACTTTTCAGTGCTGGAAATTCAACGGTATTTTCTTTCTGAAATCAGAAAAGGACTTTGTTTGGTGCCCATTCAGTAGGCGACATGTTTCAACAGTAATATATTATGTAACTGAAGTTGGGTTGAAGAACCTTTAACAAAAGTATGATGCATATAAATGTTAAGTACAGTTGTGAGGCTTACTCTGCCTGGTTTAAATTTATGTTAGGACTTTTCAGCTTTATTGCCAGGTTTAAAACATTTGTTTGACTAATCTCACAATAATTTCATCAGGGAAGAATGACCTGTGAAAAGAAATGTTTGCCCAAGAACTTCACACTACCCTCCCTTCAGTAAAAGTAAAAACAAAAAAACCCTACCTGGTTAACATGTGGTACCATATTACAGTCTTCCTCTAACTGCTCCAGGTGGTGGATCTTAAAGTTGCTCACTCCAATAGCGCGGCACACCCCTATAGTTCAAAACAATGACACTTGCTCTAGTGCCTTTTCTATTTCTAGTGACTTTCTATTTGTTCTGTGTCTTGTTCTTCTTTGCTCTGTACCTTCTTTATAAAGTTCTTCCAAAGCTCTCCAGGTCTCAGCTCTCACCTCCCTGTTGGAGGAACCAAGTTTCATAGAACCCGGCCAGTGCATCAGGTACAGATCTGAAAGCAGGCACACGTGATTTTGTAAGAGAAACAAAGACAAAAAAGGAAGATGACACTGCACTGACACAATGGTAGTTTGTTATGTTTCTGTATTACAATTCTTTATCAATAACAGCACATACCAAAATATTCCACCCCCATCAGTGCGCAGGAGTGAAGGCAGGCCTTCTTTGCTGCTTGGTATCCATAATCCATTGGCCACAGTTTATTGGTGAGCCACAGATCACTTCGTGGCAGCCCACTTTCTCTGATAGATTTGTTCAGTTTCTCTTCACAGTCATACTGCTGTGCTGTGTCAATGTGGCGCACACCACACTCAGTGAGTGCATACACAATGGCATCATGAGAGTACCCGCCATAACTTGATGTGCCTGCCAGGGAGAGGAAAGAACAAACAAAAACTGTCAGACTTAAAACTTTCAGAGCTGATTTCAACTCCCAAAGAGTAATTTTAACACTTCGGTATAAATTGTTGTTTGCTGTTGGGAGTTATTTGACAGAGTTGATCATATCAGTTGTTAGCTTAACTTGGAGATGTAATCACACTCCTCCTACAAATGTAAAGTCTTTGGTTGAACAAGTTGGACCATTAACCAAGTGTCAGGCAGTTTAAGTGTGAAAAGATATCAAACCTACTGCAATTTATAAGTGATGCTGTGACTACAAAACCTTGCTTGATGCCAAGACTGCAACCGCGTTAACCCCAGTGGCTCATGCGAGTCTCTAACGAGTGAACTCTGGACACTGATGGTTATCCATTGTGGAGATTAGGCTTTACATTCTAAGAATTTTTATCTAACACCAACAGTGTTTAACAAAACAACTCTTTCAAATGTGTTAAGCATTTACATGGTGATTTCCATACAAGCACTGGGTAAGTTTTAATTTTTAACTCTAAGCATGTTAAATGTGCAATTTCAAATTTGCTGTGTAACGTGTTTGAAAAAATAAAAATCAAAGTTTGCATTCAAGAAAAATTTTTTAGTTTGTGTGTGTGTGAATTGTTGAGTTACCACTGGACACTAAGAATGACACATTCATTTGACAGACACTTCTGTCCAGAGCACAGATGTATGATGGTTTGCTTCTTTACTTATAGCCTGCTGTATGCTTTAATGTTATTACTTCAATTATAAGCATTTAAATAAACTCTGGTTCATACTGCATCATATTATTTGTATAGTATATCGCATTTCTGAGTCTGCATTTGAGAGTTATATAACATGCAATGTGTCTGCATTTTTGTGTGTAGTATTTTGCATGTGTTGTAACTGGAAAAGTAAACGCACCTAATCCAAGTATAGGAATCGACAGACCATTGGAAAGTCGGACTGTAGCACACCTCATCCCTTGTGCTACTGACATGTTCCTCAGTGCAGAACAACCTGAATCACAAAGAAAAGTTATTGTTAGTTCTGCTGACTTCTTGCTCTGCTCTAGATCCATATCTATTAGGAATCTGCAGTACAATCACCCAAATCTTGCCAAAGTAATTGTTAACAGTACATGAAATCAGCTGAAGCAATGCACCACTACACAACACGTACCCGAGATTTGCAGTGTATGACTTCAGTGTTTATGCAGTCAGTGACTGACTTTGACTACTTGTAGATGACTTCTCTTCTCCTAATCCAACGACGTCGGCATAGCATTTCTGGATGAGGAGGAGATGTGCCTCCAAAAGAAACTCGGATAACGTGACTCCAAGCCAATGGCCAATCCGTTTGTTTAGCCCTAGAACGATGACGTCGATTTCCAAAGCGTACGAAAAATAGATGAAGGAAAGATAATGTATAGCTCTGCAATGAAAAACCATATTCACAGGGACGTTTTACGCATTTTGTCAATTTGACGACTTTCTTACAGCAGTAAAATGTTGAGCCGTTGCCTCCATTCACACACACACACACAATATATACACGTGTGTGTGTGAATGGATATTTTCACAGCTCTTCGCTTTCAGACTCTTTGGCTAGTAGTCGGCAAACATGGCGACCATGTAGAGCGAATTGTTTGCAGTTCCAGCCAAAATGAGGTCAGTTTCTTTAGTTCGGTAAGTGTATTTAATGAGTCGAAGTTGTTAAACGTGTAATAATGGTGTCAAATTGCAGCAAGGCAGTTTTCGCGTAAGCTAAGATTTCCTTGCAGTACAATTTCAGTATGTGCAGCGGTGCAACGTTAGCCGGGGAGTAGGGACTCTTTAAGGAAAAGTATTGTGGGACTCACGTTGCTAAGAAAATATAAACTTACACCTACATTTTTGGCCTTTTGTCCAGATATGATGAGCACGGTTTCTGTGCACTAGTGACGGCTAATGACACCGAGTTAGTATGTGACAGGCCCTATGTATTCTGAAGGAATCCAGTGAAAGTGTTCCCACTTGACTGTAAAGCCAGGCCTTTTAATCTCACAGCACGCATTTAGCATAGGCTATTTAACTGAGAGGGAAAATGAGCCCGAAGGACATTAACATTTGGTGAGCTGCCTATCTTTGTTCCCAATGCAGGGTCCGTAGTTGGTGCTTGGAGCTGCGGCGAACCTATTTGTTTTGGCCAGTCCTGCTTTTCCTCTTGTTCGGTGCAGCCTTGACAGCTCTGCTGCCCCCTACGGAGGACCAAGGCGGTGTCCTGGGAGCTCTACGCCGGGCTACATCACAAAAGGAGAAGCCTGCACAGAGCCACCATGATGACAGCACAGAGAGGGAGCACAGGTTCACCATCATTATCCAGACTTACAACCGCACAGACCTTCTGCTCAAACTACTGAATCATTATCAGGCAGCGCCTCATCTCAAACGGATTATCATAGTCTGGAACAATGTTGGGGAGCAGACACCTCTGAAGTTATGGAACTCCTTGGGGCCTCATCCAGTTCCTGTGGTCTTCAAGGAGCAGACCAGCAATCGGATGCGCAACAGACTACAACTACTCCCTGAGATAGACACTGATGGTCAGTATATCTGTCAGCTGCAGATGATTTGATTTTGAGTTATTCAAACTGTTTATATACTGTAGATCCACGGTTGATCTGTTTTCAGCATTTTTCAGTTTACTTTTTTTCTTCTGATCTTTAGCTGTACTGATGTTGGATGATGACACCCTGGTCAGCGTTCCTGACATCAGTTTTGCTTTCTCTGTTTGGAAGGTAATAAGCCTTAGTACCTGTACCTAAATTACACTTTGGTTTAACTTGATTGTGAATTGATTTATGTTAATAAAGCTGCATCAGCAATATGTGGTACATCAAACGTTACCATATACTTATTTAATCTGTGGTTCCACAGCAATTTCCAGACCAGATTGTTGGGTTTGTGCCCCGGAAACACGTCTCCACACCAGGAGGAGTGTACAGTTATGGCAGCTTTGAACTGCAAGATCCAGAAACAGCCGGCGGTGACAAGTCAGTCGTGCATTTTATTTTTCATAATCTTGTAAAGCTCCTTCTACACTGTATTATATGCTGCACTTCCATGTTTTGTCAGCCAAGTTTCTTATTTGGTCTCATTTTGTTGTGAAAGGCCATTTTCTGTACTTGTAACCTTAATCCACTCACTGCAGATACTCCATGGTATTGATTGGTGCTGCCTTTTTCCACCGCCGCTACCTGCAGCTCTTCCAGGACCAACCTCAGGCAGTACATGCGCTGGTGGATGAAACACAGAATTGTGATGACATTGCTATGAACTTTGCTGTAGCGCTGTATTTGAAGAAACACTTTAAGTCGATAGGCAGCATTAACAAACCCTCTGGCGTCTTCATCAAACCTGTGGACCTCCGCAACCTAGAAAACGATGCCAGCAGTGGGTACCACGGCATGTGGCATCGTCCTGAACACCTTCTTCAGAGGTCCTACTGTCTGAACAAGCTGGTGCAGATTTATGGCATCATGCCACTCTCCTTCTCAAATCTAATGGTCTCCCAGTTTGGCTTCCCCAGCTATGCTAACCACAAGAGTAGAGGCTGAGGAAATGGCACAGTGCTCACTATGGACTGAATGAAGACTGAGTTTGGTTAAGAACACGTTGCCTGTTGTGTGATCTGTAGCTGTAAACCATGGGTTACCAAATTTACATTTTCAAGCTGTGATTAAGAATATTCAGCTGGTGTGGTTGTTTTTCAAACCTTTGGCATTTTTTTTTTTTTTTTTGCATTTCATGATAATGAGCAGTTTCACACTGGAATCAGCACAGTAGTGATGGACTTTCCTCCTCTGGACAAGAGCAAGGATTGTTAAAGAATTTTCTACTCATGGACCAATCAGATGAAACCTCTGTATCTAATAAGTTAATCTGTATTGTTGCCAAAGCTGCCTTCCCTTCAGCCTATACAACTCTCTCAGTGGATTGTAGCATAGTTACTCTATAGCCAGCAGTTTATTGTTCTTGGATCCGATCTGCCTTGTTTGCAACTGTGATGTATAGAACTAATGCTTTTGCTTTTACATGTACATTTTTCTGTTGTGCTTTTATACAGTCCCTACAACTTTAAAAGAAGGGTTAGAAGATAGTGGTTTGCTTTAGCAACTTTTGGCCCCCAAAACTCCCCAGCAAAGTGCGAGTCTGTGAATGAATTAGAATTACTGAAAGTATTTTGTACATTTAAATCAAATCTATGCATGTGTAGACAATCATTTTTTTAAATGTCAAACTTATAGGAATAGACTATCATATTATCCCTTTAAATAAAGCCATGCACACTTTTCTCTGAACAGTATTTGTAAATGAATTCACAATTATATAAATGAATAAGAGATTCTTTAAGACTGAAAGCAAGTGGTATGCCAAATCCAGGAGTCGGTGGTGTCCCTCTGACCAACAGTGATGCATTTTAATTTTGTCAATTAGTATGGTTCCTTCACAGCTTTTAGTTTTAGTCTGTTGTCCTTTTCTTTGAGGTTACTCTGAATGGCCCAAATGACTGATAGAGAGAATAAATACTTTGCAAAATTGAAATCAGTCATTATTTGCATCCCAATAACAGTTACTGCAACAGTGGGCAGTGCCAAGATCCATTGCTGTTGGGTACAGTATTATGTGATTACAAAGTGGTGGTGTTAGGAAATTTGGACCTGCATGTCCCAGACCTCATTATGACATGCATTTATCTTCCTCACATTGGTTTAAACATCAAAATAAAAGAAAATTACAAAATGAAAGGAGCTACCCCTACTATGAACATTAGCGAGTTAACAAGTGTCAGCCTGGGAACATTGGGAGGGGGTGGAGGCTCTGGTGTGCCAGCTTCAGAGCGTGGCGCGTTTGTTTCTTGGCTGGCTTGGCCTTTCTTTGTATCCAGCAGTTCGGCTTCCCAGCGGAAAACACTCCTCTGCTGGTTGTTGGTTGTAAAGGTTGAATTTGTATGTAAAGAGCAGAATTTTTACAATGCCTACATGAATAAGCTAACACATTGTCCAAATAAGAGAAGCTTATTCAGAGGAACGCCTCTGAATATAATGTAGTCCAGTACAACACCACCTTTAACTATGACCTCAATAATGAACATATCAAATTTGACAATCTCACCAAAAACTGAAACATTTTGAGCTTCATAAACATTAAGGCAGAAGTGTTGGATTGAAATGCATACAGACCTACAGTTGTCATAATGTTAGGCCTGATCGGTGTATATCAGTGTTGAATTTAGTTTTTCCCCACAGCCTGCCTTGAAGCCAAGATGAGCTTGATACAACTGGGAAGACTTATTCCTGTCAACCCTCATGAGGACATTGTTAAGCAACTTCAATATTCATGTGCTTAATGACTCTAGAATTAAAATAGACATTTCAGAGGGTCTGTTTTCCAGTAGAACAGGAGGTATTACAGGAGTAGAATAAGACAAGTGTCACAAATATATATGTGATTTTTAAAAAAAATTCACAATGAAAATGAAGCTTCTTCATTTGAAGAGCACACCTGTCTGTGTTTAGTATTTTCTACACAATATGTAACCGTTATAGGCACTGAGCCGGTGAATTAACTTCACGTGTGGTCTCTCTCCGCTGCTAACCTAAAAAAAACAAGACTCCATTACTTGAGCTGAGCCTTCGAAGCAAACAGACTGAGTTGACAGAGACTTGGTTTGACAGTGTTGCATTCAGTACTAAAGATTCTGTAGCATTACTAAACAATGATACTGGGAGCAAATGAAAACAGTTGATGTAAGCACTGTAACATGCACACTGGTGGGAGTTGATAAAGGATCACAGAGTATAGTAGCTAACCTAACTCAAAATAGGTAAAACAACCGCAAAATAATGTGATTGGTTCTTGTGGCACATCATGAAAACCACAGTCTTGCAACAATGCAGCATGGTTTCAATTCCCAATAGAGCTACATGTTATTTAGCTCATCAATTAAACACTTGAAATGAGATCACATTTACCATCTAAGGATTAGGTATCTCGTTTCACTGGCACTCCAGCCATGTACCTCAGTGCCTCTCTCCATTTATCCATCGATGTTTTAATGGGTGGCACATTCTCATCACAACAACCACAGTGTCCTGCATCAATGATGCATTTTCCTGTAACGCATTTACAATCCAAAAGAATGTGGTCAAATGTGTCCCAGACCACCTCGGCAAGTGGTTTCACCAATGGGATCACAATCCATCTTGGTGGTCGTTTACACTTGTAGTACTGTCCACTTGTGATCCTATTGCCCAGGACGCGTTTTAAAACCCAGTCTAAACAGGGTCTTAGAATTCTGACTTTTTAAAAATTGCCATGAGATTAAAGTCAGAATTCTGAGAAAAACATCAGAACTCAAATGTTTCAGTGGTACTAAAGCTCTACCGTACGATAGGGATAAGTGACTGACATGGTCTGACTGCAGTAAAACCTAAGGAGAAGTTAGTTTAGGTTTCAGTTTTCAGCTGTTATGCTTGTTAGAGAAGATTTCAAATAAAATACATTTATCACAGGGTTTTTTCTTTTTTATAGGCAAACCTAAATTCAGCACCATATAAATCATTATAAATCTTTTTATTCACACTGGATGTTTTGTGATTTTCAGATAACCCTGTTTGTCCCAAAAAAGGACATGTGCAATACATCTACATCAGAAGAACAGAGGCAGGTGAATGCAAGTCGCACCAAAAGACAGGTAATATTTGATCCGAGATTTAGTGTTCTGCCTGCCTCTCTGAAGGATCCTTATACATTTGAATAACAGCTGTTATATCAAATGGCTGCTGCTTCTTTTAAACACTAGGAAAGTAGTTCATGTCTGAATAGATCCACGTGTTTCACAGGACTCAAGATGGTGTGAATTCATGTTTTTAACAAATGCTTATTGACAGCACCTGGTATCTGAAAAGACATGGGTGTAATGAGTCATCAGACATACTATTTCTGTCATCTCTAACAAGCAGTGAGAAGCAGAGAATTGCATTTAAATGAAAAGCCACCTCTAGACTTTTTTTAAAGCAGCAGCACAGAAAGTGAAACACTAGCAGGCACGTGTGGGTGGGTTTAGGTAGATGAAGGAGGGTGGTGCAAGGTGAAGAGTCAGGTGGCAGGCCTGAGTGGAGGTAAAAATGGAGCAGGTACAGGATCGCATAAATCAGTCTTGGTGGTCAGAAGGGTTCACTTTGACAAATTTTTCACGCAGACCTCTGAGGACATGGCAGAAAAAACAGTGGTGCTTGATTTGTTTGCTCCAGTTTAACTAATTGAGAGGATAAGATGCTACAATCACCAGATGCTACCATTTACAACAAATCAATAATAGAAATATTTGCAGGTGGGCCTTTGGAGCGTGAATGGAGCGGTCTGAAAATGACACTAAAATCTAAATTGTCGTAATGTATGTAGAGTTCACATTGGGATAAACCTAAAACGTATATAAGTAGTGATCTTCACAGCGTTCACTGTTGCTTTGGAATCAAATAGTAGCTTAAGAACGTCCTGGTGCAGTCTGAGCTGCTACTTCCACCACTAGGTGTCCATCTTTCTTCACTTGACACAGTGAAACACACGCTGTACTGGCTTGACGCTGACTCCAGTGGTTGGTGTTCAAGTCACATGCAGTTAAATGACACAGGCAGATCCAGTCTAATCCATTCTGATAGCTGACAAACAATTTATATCATATGATTAGTCTATATTTTACTGCTGATCTTTAATATTGAACATGTAATGTATTTTTTTTTTTTACCACTGGTATTTTTTTGAACTTATCTATATATGTTTTGTATTTATTTAGCACTGTTATGGGAGTTGCCACATTTTTTGTTGTGTAAGCAATGACAATAAAGATTGACTGACTGACTATATGTTAAACTAAGATGATGAACATGAGCATGTTATACAAATGTTTATACACAATGATTATGTAGTCTGATAGAACAGTACCATAATTTTTTTGATAATAATTTTTGTGGGATGCGAATTTAAAATTTCTCTCCAAACCTAATATGATTTTAAAATGTAAATAGCATAGCTCCAGTTTTGCTGAGAAAGTTTAGATAAATCTTTGAAATCCTTCACAATATGACCTTACAGTGCTTGTGTTCGTGATAGGGTGGGTTGTGGGGTAAAGGTAGAGAAGCACGGTCTCAGGAGAGACAGCCATCACGGCGTGCTCCGGTCCCTGATGCCGGTTACCAGTGTCACCCATCTGTTTTGGACATGCAGTGAAACGTGAGATATGTGACCCACTTTCTAACAGCAGTGTGACTGCTGTGCTCCTCTTTTCATCAACAAACCTCCCTCCCTGAGGACAGAGAGACAGGGAAGCTGAAATACACACTGTCAAATGTAAAGATGTTCTGTTTAGCTTTTCAGTTTGATTCAATTGTTTTTACAGAGCTCACTCACCCAATCCAGTGTTCTGAATACAAAAATACTGTTTTTCCAGCAGAAGATTGGAAGATCATCCACATTTTAGCAAGTGAGGGCATGTTTCTGACTTCCATTCACCTTCTTTGCACTCATTAGCAACCAAAACATAAAGGGACACACAAACCAAATTGCACGTGTCCACCTCTGACATTTCTGCTGCCATCCCAGTTCAGTGTAAACAGATGCAATTTTGATTGTGGTGTCCACGGCACTCTGAAAAATCTCATTTAAAATAATTGAACAGCAAAATGTCTTTCCATGGTCACTTTGTATCCACAGAACAAGGTGTCCGCTGTTTTCACTGGGACCATTTCCTCTCTTCAAAGTGTTCTGACAGTGAGGTCTGTGGTTTATCAAGAGCAGCTGGAACATTGCGTCTCCGTGGAATTACTGCTGTTGAATTTCAGGAAATGTCAGAGATGGGGATCTGAAAACATGGACAAAACCCTCCCCAGACTATGTGCATTACTAAATACCACTAGAGCAGTGGTCCCCAAACTGGGGGTCAGGATGCCACCAAGGTCAGAGGATAAATCTAAGGTTTCGCAAGATGATGAACAAAACAGGAATGTGGAACAATCTGTAGAGTGATGCTTATTTTTAGACTTTTTCTAATATTTCTTATGAATTAGTTGGCTTTTAAAGGCCTCAAAGCATTTAAACCTGCACCAGTCGATTTCTGGCCACTAGAGGGCAGTGTTATTAAGTAGTTATGTGAACTTTTTATCATAGTTACACATCCAGCAAATATGGAGCAACATCAGCATTTATTTGGAGTCATGATTCTGGCCACCTGATGAATTTAAGTCCAATGTTATTATTATTATTAATATTATTTTTGTCTCCACCAACACCTAAGGAAATATTTGGCTTGTTAGCTGCTGAATGCTCGACAATATTGACCTGTCACTAACTTTGTATGTTATATCGCAAGTAAAAAAAACTGCATTCAACATTTTACTTAAGTAAAATTACAGACATTCACTTCATGTGAACGAGGTGAAACGTACAGCTGCCTTTGTGTAGCTGTGGACTAGAGCTTTGAGAGTTATTGTGGTATCTCAGCTGTATGGTCAATGATCTAAGCCAATGTTCTCACAATCTACTGGAGAATGTTTACGCAGGAAAGCAAACGGCATTAATCTTCAGCATGAGGAGAGCATGACACGCCCAGTATTTTCAATAGGTTCCTGTTTATAGATGGTTGTGTTCCTCTCCTCTTACTGCTTCTCTTCTCAGTTACTTTTTCATTTTCCTGAAATATATACCTCTCTCTCTCTCTCTTTCGCACACACACACTTGTAGTCACCAATTTACAGGGTCCATACATATTCTTACATTCATTTCCAGGAGACTTACCCTAACCTTAGTCAGAACTGCTACTTGCCTAACCATAACCCTTGCTCTAACCTTACACCTGTCATTTTTGTAAAAGTCAACCAATTAGTTGTGGGGCCCAGCCTCCGGTCCCTGCAAAGCAGTGTGCTCCAAGGGTTCCATCCCCACAAGTATATATAAACAAAGCCACACACACACGAATCTGAAGATCTGATAATCAGGGAATTGATCTTGGCTTTTAGCTGTAGGCTTTCTATTGGTGGGTTTTCCACAGCTAGTGTTCCTCAAGGAAGAACACAGTGGGTGTATAGACTCTGTGTATGTGTGTGTGTGTGTGTGTGTGTGTGTGTGTGTGTGTAAGTTCAGCAGAGCTTGGTCTGCTCAAGGGGAGAGATGGGGAGGGGGTGAGTGACTCAGCACGGTGATTCATTTGTAATTGGTGGCTGTGCTTCAAGAGCACACACACACACACATCTCTTAAGGGTGGGTGCCCTTGTTGGAGATGATGGGACTGATTGAGTGAGCCGGATCATTAAGAACTGCTGTCTGCTAAAGAGGAGGAGAAAGAAGGGGACAAAGAAGGAGAAACTGCAGCATGTGGGCAGAGGAAGATCAATTGAGCTAAACGGAGATGGACCAAATGAGGAGTCACTGCACTTAAGGATGCTGGAGACTGCAATTTATTAGGCCAGAGGAGCTTTGTGATATAAAAAGGGAAGATTTATCTTCTCCAATGACTTATGCAGACCTAAATACTGAGTGTGGATCTCTGAGAACATTATAATTTGATAAAGATGATTTGATGCTTTCAGTTGTCTAAGTGGCGCTGCAGAAAGACTTTTTAGGTTGAATCCGTCTCCACAGATGTTAGCTATATGTTTTCTTAGTAAATTGGTGGTTAACAGAAATAGTCTCGGGGGTTATATAGTCCACATTTCTGCAGGAAGCCAGTCAGCAGGCAGGAGCTCACTTTGCTCTGACTATGTAGCCACCCCACCTCTTTTCCCTGCAGGAAATCCAAGAGCCTTTCCAACAACACTGAGCTCAAGACTGTCAGCTGGTCATTGTCACCAGTGAGTTATGCAGACTGGCAGCTAAGACAGAGGAGCATTGCTTCAGCTGAAAAGTTATTACAGTACATGACACGAATTGTGCATGATAAGTGTAGTGCCCCTTTAATTTCCTCCATGAGATCAGTAGTTTATCTTATTTTGCAAACATTTCACCTTATCTTACTTCATCTTTAGTTCTCTATAATTTAGACAGTAACAGCTGTTTTTGTCCCAGACCCTTTCAGTTACAGCCTACACATGCCAGCATACTGTACTATCAGTCGTGGAAGAAGTACTCCGATTGTTTCCTCAAGTAAAAGCAGTAATACTATGACATTAAAGTACTCTTTTACAAGTAGAAATCCCACATTCATAATTGTATTTAAGTAGGCTACAGAAGCATCACAAGTACTCATTATGCAGAATGACTCCTTTTGAATTATTTGATTGTATTCAGTATGTTATATTATATAGGATTCAACTGGTGAAGTAGCATGTAAACATTTTACTCTTGTAATCAGTTATACTTTATATATCATCTATAACGCCAGGCTGCATTATATGATAAAAAGAAATGTAGTAAATTAGAAGTATAAAGTAACATCACCTACTCAAGTAGTACAAGTAGCCTACTTCAATATTTTACTTAAGAAGGCTACAGTAGTTGAGACCATTACCACTAGTACTTTGCAAAGAAAAGAGTATATTTATGACTTAATACTCTAAGTAGTACAGAAAAACCAGTAACATTGTGATGTTTCAGTCAAATCTCAATAATCCTATAATAGGTTATAGGCTATTATGGAAGGATTTCTAGGAGTGTTATGAGAAAAGTGAAGGTACAGGCCTATTTCACCAGTGAGGTTTTATATAATAATGAATTCTACCCAGAAATCCTTAAAACAAAGTCTCTAAGCCTCAAAGCTGCTTCAGTATTGAGCAATTTCATCTCTCATCTGTTGATGTCACTCTTGCTCCTCTGCCACTCGAGTCTCCTACCACACACACACACACACACACACACACACACACACACACACACACACACGCACACATACTCGCGCTTCAACCCCGGATGGATGACTTCACCGTTCTGCCTGGGTTTCCTTTATGATCCCGGGATCTCCCACTTCCCTCACCAGACATCAGCCAGCAACAGAGGCGAACACAGCTCCCTCTCTGACTCTCGCACTGTCTCTGCCTGCAGCCGCAACTCATCCAGAGACTCCAGAGAGACCGCAGCAGCATCTCAAACACCGGTCCCTTACAGAATTACACTCACAAAGGAACTGGCAGGACAACGGGCAGTGCAACTTGCACAAAAGGGGATCTACAGCTGTTTTGAGCATATAGCCAGGGGAGGAAGACATTTATCTACGTTTTTAACCCCACACTCTTGTGCCCTTCTGCGTCGTGCCACAATGTCCGAGGTGCTGCCATACAACGAGGGGAAAATGAGCGGCTATGGGGCAGACAGCGAGGTCAGTCAGATGTCCTTTAGCTGCGGACTACAGGACACAAGCGCCTTTTTTGCTGCGTCGCAGGCGAAAAGACCCCCAAAGCTGGGACAGATCGGCAGAGCCAAGCGAGGTAAAGGACGCCGAATAACACTCAGGGATGTTTATGGGATACAAAATGAACACAAACTAGGAAAATGAAGGCACGCAGTGTATTTGGGGACTTACAGTGAGTAAATTGTGGTCCTCCGTAGTGACTTCACTGATTTTAATAGTAAAGCTAAATCATGTATTCTACTTCAGTTTATGGTATTGTCTTGAATTCTAAATATTCAATACAAATGTGATAATGCACCACAGGATAAATAGACGTGTCTATTACAAGGTCAGTGGTTGTCGACAACATTCAGATTGTTTACATACATGCACCAGAAATGGTGCAACATGGGGTGTGATCACCCCATGTTGCACCCATCAAATTCCAAGGTTACATAGAAAGGATGAACGCCTGGCTTGTTACCATTAACGGGAATGAGTTGCTGTCACAATGTATGCGTATGAGGTTGCGGGTTTATTTATGCACCTGCAACCGCACTACAGTCACAGCTTGTCCCACTTGGTTAGTCAGTGTGCTATAGGCCTCCTTTATAAGACACTGACATTATAGTGAAAGAAATCGAGAGCTATACCAAATGCATCCCTATAAGAATATTATAGGCATCTCATCATGTGTCCCAGCAGTCCCATTGAACAGCTTGTTTCCCTTTTGTCTCCACAGTGGTCATCGAGGACGACCGAATAGACGAGGTCCTCAAGGGGATGACAGACAAGTCTTCGCCCGGCGTTTAAACGCGAAGGATGCCTTGCAGACTTTTTCATTTTGATCACCGATTTGAAGAAGCACTTGTCGGCTGTGCATGTTCGAGGACTGCAGGAGAAAACGACGGCACGAAGCGAGGATGGGATGACGAAAGGAAACCAAAAAGGGGGCAAAAGAAGGGGAAACTGAGAAAGGAAGAGAAACGAGGAAGAGAGGAAACAAGAGAGAAGGAGAAGGAGAGATAGACTCTGGAAAAAACCAAGATTTATCAAGGGATTGCTGGCAATTCTCCAAACGAATCCCGATTTTAACTACTGCTGTGCAGCACGATGTTGAGATGGCGGACAATGCTCTGTATCTCAACCTCTGCTGACTTTAGTGATGGATGAACTTGTCATTACTTCAAAACCATCTCCTTTTCCTTTCCAAAAGCGCTGTAAGCAACAAAATACTGCAACTGGAGGCTGAGGCTAAATCCCAGCCCTGTTTCAGTGAGTTGTACAGTAGGTAGGTAGGTATGTAGGTATCCCCCCCCCCCGGGCCCATTGCTTTAAAGGGCAACCCTTTTGTTTTAAAAAAGCAAACAGACCAACCAAACTCTCCAGTCTACTAAATACAAGAGACCCATTGTATGTAAACACGTATATACCGAGGATGGTGCAATGTTGATATTTTCTGTAGTAGAAGCCCGTTTGTTTTTGACCCTTAAAAAACAATAGGCCACAGATTAAAGCCGAACTACATTCTTCTCCTTGTTTACCCATCAGTTGGTTAAAGGTGCAGCCTGGCCCCTTCATGTAGCCGATTTTCACCTGCACATATCCTTTTCCCCCCTTCCATATTCTTCCTGGGTTTTTTTAATTTAGTGGGGTTTTTTTCTATTTGTTTTGCATTTTCCAATTCAGATATCTACAGAGGCCAGCAGAGATGTGGGGATTATAACAAATGTTTAAAATAACTGTCATAAAATTGATGGGAAAAATGTGGTTTCTATAATTTGGTTACTTTCATTTTGAAATTATTTGTGTTTTGTCTTCTATAAATTAAAAGTTTTTCTCCATCTATTTGCATGAACTTTCACTCCGGTGCCAACATAGGTGCCACCACTCTTTACCCTGGCACGCTTCTTTTTAACAAAAGTCATATTTGTATTTTTATATCTAAATATTTGTTATTTAAATGATATGCTAGTCTATCGTCTTACAATTCAACAACAAAAATATTTCTACTTCAGAGAGGATATACAGAATGAGACTTGGTTTCATAGCGGTGAATCTAGTTTTCACGGATTCGTCTCATTCTAAATCAGAGATCAGACATTTTTTAAAGACTAACTGAATGTGTCTGGGGTTTTTGCACACACATCAATGTTACACTATTATTAAGAAATCGTATACTGTGACTTGAGCTTCGTTGATGAATTTGTTAGAAAATGGCAGTTTTAGAGTCTATTGCACTGTTTACGAGTATCCTCAGATAACACGTTGTTATTTGACTGATTTTGGACATTGCAGTTTTCATTTTTTTATTTGGTTTATTTTGTACCATTACTTTAAAGAAACTGGATATGGTTTGTTGTGCATGAAACCTTAATATTTTCAATAATGAAACTGAATTATGAAGCAAAAAAAAAGCAACAAAAATGTCATGACATTCTAAGAATGAGTCATTGTATATTATGATGCCATTTTCACTGTATTTGGTGAATTAATAAATGGTGAAAGAAAATGTTCATGACAGCCTGTGGTATGGCTTTTTCTTTTTTTTTTTTTTTACAAAGAAGAGTATTTATGGCTGGTTGTTTGTTTCAAAAGAAGATAAAACAAAACAGAACATATCACCTTGCTACATTAAGCACTAAGATAAACTAAAGATCTTTTATGGAAACAAAACATATTTGCACATTTGGAAAGTAGAAAGCCTCCTACCTACAGCATTTCTGTGCAGCTTTATACATCAGTGAAGGGCTGTACTAGACCTCCATAGCAGGCATCTCAATGACAGTAAATATTGATCCTTAATTAAAGAGTGGGGAAGAAATATTGATCCATCTGTTAAGCCCTTAAACAGCTCTGTGCTAGCCTAAACTAGTGAATTCATTAAACCACAGACCCTCAGGGACCCACAACTGGCCAAACAATCATCTACCAGTCTGATTGTACAGTGTCCTCATACAGTAGCTCTCACACCCAGTCTACAGTAGCCGTGAAAATGCTTGCTTGTGGGTTTTTTTTTTAGTGTTTCCAATCTGAATCACCACAGTCCTATCAGTAAGTGAAACCCCTCTTCACTGTACTGTGCCACATGTTTTCATAAACTTGCTCAATAGCAGTACATTTCTGGCTTATATAAGTAAATCCACAAAAGACATTGTGATATTTGTTGAAGCTTGTTGTCTTTTCTCCAATCAAGTTTGCATTCATATAAAAACTATTTAGAGTGGCAGAAACGGGACATTTCAACCATTTCCCTATTATACTTAGCTTTATGCTGGTTAGTTTCCACTGGCTCTCACTTGTAAAGATTTGTATAAACCTTCTACAAGTGTTTTAGCTTGGTCAGAAACCTACTATCCATCAATCCTTCCATTACCTACACTATATTTCTTATACTGTCGAAGGTCATGGGGCTGCTGGTATCAATCCCAGTTGACAATGGGCAAGAAGCCTGCTCACCAATCCATCACAGGGGTGTCACCAGTCATACCCACACATACAGCAATTTGGAGTCACCAAACCACCCAACCTTTGGACTGTGGCAGGAAACTGGAGAACCCAGAAGAAACCCACAGAGGAACAGGGACAACATACAGACTCCACACAAAAAGGCACCAGTCAGCTGCAAGGTTTGAACCTGGAGCCTTCTTGCTGCTTGTGAGGTGACGGTGCTAACCACTGCACCACCGCTACCCACTACTAACTATGCAGACTAAAATAGTTAGTAATTTTCTGTGTCAAGTGCTGGGGAGCAGTGAACTACAGGTAATTAAACCAGTAATTTAATTACATTTTGCAGTAGCTTGCCTGTAGTTCAACTACTTTCATATCTGCATAACAATTCAAGTAGTGAAATTACTTATTAGATTTTTTTTGTGTAGTTATTAACTACTGAAACTACAACCTCTTGTGCTGTAAAAGGCAAGGAATGGTTTTTTATTTTTATTTTACCATGCTTCATGTGAGCAGCTCTTCAGTTTTAGGCACGGACATTTTCTGTGCCAAATGGACCCATTTGCTGGAAAAGAAATTGGAGAGACTACTCATGTTGTAAAACAAGAGATTCTGAACTGACAAGTACAAAGACAGGCCCGTCAGACCAGTCTTCAAGCTGTTCACAATGTATAAAAAGGTGCAACTTGTACATGTCAGATTTTACAGAACTGACAAGACAACAGGCCAATTTTTTAGACCAGTGCCTTTGCTGTAGTTCAACTTCTTCCAGTGTAGCTTCCCCATCAGTGTCGATGACAAGAGATATACTAAGTAACAGCATCACAGCCAAAAATCCAATTTGTGTGTTTATTTTCTTCCTAAACAGAAGTACTTTGATGCATTTTTTAAATCCAGTCATGCTATTTGTTAGTACCCAAGGTTGTGAATCTGTTTTATTACATCAGAAGATCTGTGAAATGAGGACAAACTGTCAGGTGGGAGAAAAGGTGACAAATTCTGGACTACACTGTTTGCCAACAGTGTCAGTCAGGAAATTGTGTCAGCTGATATCACTCATCTTCTATCCGTGGTACACAGACCTGCACGGCACAGATAGCAACTCAGTAAAAATGAATTTCCTTGTAATCACACTTTTCCTGGACATTGTACTACAGATATGAGTCTAATTTGTTTAATGTTTGGGGAAACGTATACACTATCAAACCACATCTGTAAAAAGCTACATGTTCTGACAACAATACATGAAAATTGCTCCTTATATTATCCAGAATGGCACTTCAATAACAACAGTACATTAACAAAGTGAGATCACTGGCTGTCCTGACACATCAGCACTGCACTGAACACAGTGCTATCGATCATGTCGTTGTGGATGTCGTTCCTGTGTCTGTCTCAGGCCATGGACAGTTATACCTCTCACAGTAACAGGCAGCCCCGGCAGGCCGGAAACAGGCCTACATATTTGGTCAGATATTGAACTGTGTCTGCCCTGCTACACGCCTCTCTCCCTGACTGTGGACATGGGATTTCATTAAAGTCCTACTACTAGTAGTGCTGCAATAAGGTTCTTACACCAGTGTTAGTTTGTTTGTTTGTGTACAGGCAGTTATGCTAAGCTAAACAGCTACTTCAGAACACCAATTAGCATGTTTCCAGAAATGTTAAAATCTTTTGGTAATTCCGGTCAAAAATGTTTGTTATGAAGCGATGAGGAGAATTAACTACACTGACTACAGATGAATGTCAAATTGCAAGAAAAAACATCATAGTTTTTTGGTAAAGTGTTGGACCCATCTCTCCACAATCTCCCAGAGGTGTTCAGACTCTGTACAGAGGAACCTGAATCTGTTATGTTGTCCATTCATTTATTCAGGTTTTTCCCTTCAACTATTATATCAGCCTTTGGCTACAGACAATATTTTTAGAGATGCTGTACAATCATTGTTGGTTATGGTCTTTTAATAGACTTTGAAGATAATAAAAAAGATAAAACACTCTTTTTTTAATCTGTAAGGTATGACTGGAGCATGTCATCAACAAGTAATGAGCTAACTCACTCTGATAAGAAATCCAGTCAGCATTTTGCAGCACTGAGGGCCAGAGGTTAATTGCCTAATAGCTGGAGCGGTAGACATTACCCTAGGTCATTGTGACTGACCTTGCAGATGGGCTGGGAGTGCAGGCTATGTTAGAGTGAGCACAGGCATATTGTAGATGCCTCCCAGGTGCACATCGCTGTGTAACCACACACAGAAACATTACAAACATGCAGATGTCCATGTGTGCAAAACAAATCAAATGCAAACGTGAAATGGCAGACCACTGTAAATGATAAGTGCCATACACACACACACACACACACACACATAAGAGGTCTAGATTCAAACTGAGTATGTGCAGCGAGGACAGAGCGCTTTGATCTGATTCCGCTTCTGGCCCATCCTGAGTGGACACCCATTAATATTCCTGCTCCTGTTACATAAGCCTGCCATACAGTATATTATGCCATTATGCTGTCCCAAAGGAGATATGCAGTGCCACTGAAAGCCACAGCAGTGCTTTCTTTTAGTCCACAGTGTATCTAACGCAGATCGTTTCCACTGACAAGAAAAACTGGTGATTCCTCCCTTCCACACTGATCTACAGCAACTGGTTAAACAGGCTGGAGGTTAAAGGACAGTTCCAGTTTATGACAACTTAGGTCTTATTTTCACAGTACTGGCCATCATTACTATCTGTTGCAATAACATTGTACTCTGGGGATACAGCGGTATTTGCTACAATGAAGCCTGACAGGGTAAGAAAGATCAAGATATTTTACTGAGCAGTATACAGATTCAAATTTAACTTGTATTGAAGGGGTGATTTCATTTTATTTTCTTGACTATCCACAGTATCATATTTTGGATGGAGATTGGCTTGATACAGGCCCTTAGTTTGCTTATATTCTCATAGTTTTACAATAGAATTTTTTTCCTTATAAATTGTAAATAAATACAGGGAAGTTGGCAGGTTGCTGAACAAGCTTCATCATGTTTTTCTCTTTGCTGCAGAAAAAAGTCCAGAGATGTTTGGTTAAAGCATGTGGTAGACCTTCTGACTTGCATGTGACCTAACATAACGCCCACACACCAAAGCACTCAGGGCCAATCAATGCAGACACACAGGGCTGGGTAGTGGTGGTGGTGAGAAGAAGAGCAACTGAGAGAGTAAAAGGGAGACAGAAAGACAAGTGAAAGATAGACAGAGAGGGAGAGAGATAAAGGCACCGAGCATGCAGTAGATTTGTGTTGTTGCTGCCCTTGGGCAATAGAGCACTGAGGGCAATTTGCAGCAGGAGAGAAAATTTACAAGTACACAACACTATATTAAATCATAGTCTCAGACACCTGGATAAGAGATGGTGATGAGCTGAAGAAACAAAACGCTGTACAAAAGATAGGACTTTCAGCAAAATGATGACTTAACCTGTCCTTCATGAGGCCTGTACCCAGTTCCGTGGTTATATAACTCCAGTCACCTTAAGGAACATTTTGGGACAATATACAATATATACAAAGGAGAAGTTTAACACTAAGCTAAAGTCAAACAAAACAGGAAAAGAAGAGCAGACGAAGGATGGAGGGTCAACCCCCTCTGAGATCTGAATCCATCAACTGTTTGTCCCATTGCTACAGTGTGGATGCTCAACCTTCTTTCCTTTAAATTGATGACATCCAAACATGTCAGCTTCATGTCTTAAGTGGACTCGGGCAAGTTCCTCATCTCAAAAGTCTTACCTGATGTAATGTTAAAGGTGAAAACCAACAGTTTGAAAATATAAAAAAGTGTGCAAGCTAAGCCAGACTAAAAAATATAAAGTAAAGAGATCCTATGATTTGCCTGATCATACTCACAATATTATGACTGTAGCTGTATATGCCTGCATTACTAGAACAATTATATAACTTTCTGCTTCTTTATTTCCCCCATCTTCTTGTGAGACATGTAGCTTTGTTCTCAGTCATTTAGCACGACGACATGCAGGCAGCCAGTGAGTGTATATTTAAGATCCCTTCTCATTTTTAAATGAGCCAGCTTGAAGTATTAAAAAAAAAAAAATCAGCAGGCGACTGTTTTCAAACAACTCATGGTGTCAATCTTCAGCCTAATTAGCTGGCTAGCTACAGCTGATAAAATGTGCAGACACAGACTAGACTGCTGTTGTCTGAAATCAAGGTTTTTTCAAAGTTCTATATGGGATTTGAGCACAAACTGTACATAAAGATGGATGACATGACAGTGAACCTTCCACAAGTCGATCGCCCCCTGCTGGCTGGTTGCAGTATAGGTCATAAACCCCTACCCCCTCTATGTTAGCTAAAGAGACGAGTCAAACCAAAAATTCAAAATACAAATCAAAAGTAATTTCTCTCATTTTCAGAAGATATCATCACACTGATGTGTGTACAAGTGGTCATTTTTGGAATAAGATTGTTTTAAATAGGTTGTGTGATGATATAAAAGGGGGTGTATTTCAGATGTCTGACAGCTTTGATTTGTGGCCTAACCCCATGGCTCCATCTCTGGCCGCTACTGCACAGCATCTGGTTGCAAAATCCATCACAAAAGAAAGATGGCCATCCCTGTATTTGAGATTTTTTGACTTCACTTTTGAATAGTGGCAAGAAGTGGCGATGTGTCATCCATTTTTATAGTCAGTCTGTGGTTTTGAGTCATAGCTGGCTCCATCATCATAGTAAACTGCATGTGTGTCATACGATGACCACAGATGTCTTACAAAGACCTGGATACCAGACTCACACTGCTTTGTGCCATGACTTTGTACAAACAGTTTATTTAGCTTCCAAGTTTATTTCCATGTTATGCAGCACACTGCACATGCATCTGTGGGGAAATGCGTTTTGCATAACAAAAGGTGGCCACGGGAAAAACTAGCAGCAAGACTGAGTAGCAGAGAGCTACCTCTCTTAATCTGTCCACGACGAAAACTAAACGTTGCCAGACCTGCAACAGTGACTCAGGAGGGCCGAGGCTTAACCAACAGTCAGTTCCATCTGCTGAAGAAAATTGTGTGATACAATCTTAACTTCCAGAAAAGCTACTAAACAGACCTTGTGGTGAGACTGTTTAGTCAACATCAAAGTTGAAGCGAAACAAACTACCACGTTACACCAGCAGAAAAATCATGGAAAGAAAGACAAGCCATTTGAAAAATCACACACCCTTTTCTTCCAAGACTTAAAAATAGGCAGTAATTAGATCTCAGTGGAGAATTAAAAATAAATGGTTTCTGCTTTATTAATGTGGTCCCCCTCTCCAGTCACCAGCCACCCTGCCTGTCTGCAGGCCTGCCTCTCTCTCCCCTTTCTGGTCTATATTTAAGCAGCACAGAGCACAGGACCCGAGACTCATCTCATGTTTCCTCAACAAACAACACGCAGGGTGAGCTACTACTTGTATGTGCGTGTGTACACTAGTGCCAGTGTCCTTAACAGGTGTGCCAGAGCCTGTGTTATCTCCATTAGCAGCTTTTGTCTGGAATCTAAAGCAGACATGGGACAAATGCAAACAACCCCAACAGAAGGGGAGACTCTGACATATTAACAGAAATTAGCACAGACTTTACATGCAGGCCAGTGCTGCTGTTATGTACTTTGTCTAGACAAGCCCATATGTCTTGCAAATTGCGTAATACAGACAGGTTTGTAGTGCCTTGCAGAATGGGGCACTGTTAAATCTTTCTGATATACTGGCAAACAGAACAGCTAAGGACACTGCAATGTAACATTGGCTTATGACTGATAAAAAATTCTATTATGTACTGCACTAGAACAGAGGATGATAGTAGCACAGACAAAAAAGTATGACAGAGAGAAGAGGAGCCATAATGAGTCATAGCCGACGTGGCTAGAAATCATTCAAAAGCAATCACAATTAAAGTGACTGTAAGGAGATGGCCAAAGGCACGTTTCTGTGGTGTTGTGTCCCAGTACCTGATTGCTTTGCATCTGTGAGCTCCACATCTGATCATTCACTGCAAACTTTGAATCTGAGGGATCCAATAACCAATAGGAACACCCTGTATATAAGGAGACTTAAAGCAAAGATTTAACACATTGTCTGATAAATCAAGTGAAAATGAGGCAGGACGTGACTGGTTCCCCAGTTGTAATACAGGCTGTTTTCATGCATCTGCGCTGGCGATAGCTGCAGCCAGAGGCATTATGATTCTGAGTTGTCCATCCGTCCGTCTGTCAGTCCAATCTTGTGAACACAATATGTCAGTAACACCCTGAGGGAATTTCTTCAAATTTGGCACAAATGTCCAAGGGGACTTAATGATGAACCGATTAGATTTTGGTGGTCAGTGGTCAAAGTATCCAATGTGACCTCGTGTCTGTTCATTCCCATGAATTCAGCAACCGCAAAGCAGTAAATCTAGTTTATTGGTAACTTCGGTCTTTTGTCTTCCAAAGGCAGAGGGCATTTCTTTATGTAGATACTGTATAGTAAATGGTGCAAACACTTTCTTTTCTTCCTGTTTGTTTTGAGCTTCCAATCAAGTATCTTGATCTTTAAATGCATTTAAATAATTTGTGCAGTAACAGCCAACTTTCATATTTGTCTTATAATAATACTTTCTAGATGAAATTTATAGATATATTTTAGTTTCTTTACACTATATCTCTACCATGATAGAAAATTACACATAATGTGACTTACTGTAAGATTTTATTTGAATAGGACCCCTAGTGATGTTAATTGGTATAAATCCAGAATGAAACTATTAAAAATACACAGTACACAGCAGTTCATTCTTGCAAAAGTTACACAATCATGGTAAGGTAACAGAGGACATTTCTGTTGTGTTTGTGAGGGTGGAGAGGTTTGAGTTTTTGAGGTCTAAGAGATAATGTATTCCTAAGAATAGAAAACCCAGTCACATACATTACAAGTCAATATTAGATAGGAAGTCTTCCTTATCCTCATTTTGTGCTGTGGCGATGCCGGTAAGTGGAGCTTTGGTGTCCTTCAGTAGCTTTTTCTCCAGAGCTGCATCTTCTGGACTAAGCTCCTCTCCTTTGGTCATTACATAGACAAAATATTGAAAGCCTTCACCATAAGTGTGATGTTTGACTGACCAGTTGTACTCTGTGCGAGCATAAAGGCGTTTCCTGAAGAAGGGCTGGGCAAAGGTAATGGAGACAAACCGTCCTCCAGGCTTCAAGCACCGACTAATCTGGGAGAACAACAAAAAGGAGGAGAGAAAAGAGTATTAGGACACATTACAATCACACTACATTACCACCAAGACACACATCATTATTAATCTCACCACCACTATCATCACCAGCAATCTCCTCTGCCACATGAGCAGCCAGATGTTTAATTATTTGAGACTGATAAGATAATTCATATGTTTGACAGCTGGATATGAAAAGCTGAAAATGCTTCAGCAGCAAACATTTAAGATATTATATAACCAACAATCAACTGTGTGTTTAAAGGGAAGCTACAGTTTATTTCAACTATACCAATGTCATAGATACTTCTGTACATCTGACAAATATCAAATTCCCTGAAATCTGCTTCTCTCAAAAGAGACATGTGCACTATAAGCCAGAGCAAACATTAAGTCCTGGGCTTTTCCGTCCACAGTGCAGGCTGCTTAGCTGTGCAGCCTGATAACATGGTGTGACAGCATGAAAACTGCGAGGGTCCCTCACTATGAATAACTGTTGCTCTGGCTCTATCACCACTCCAGTGTGTTTAACCTTCGTGTGAAATACACATGTGCATCACGGGTGGACAGCAAACAAGATGCATACAGAATATGAAAACCGACACAAACCCGAGTGTGCAGAGACGCATTTAGTTTGACTTTGGCAGGGAGTTACTCCAGAGACAGAAGCGTGTGTGTGTGGGAGTGAAGGGACACAATCTGCAGAACACTGAGTGGTGATAAAAACTTTTTGTTTGATATAACAAACATGTCAACAGAGCCAACATGTTGTAATACATTGCCACAGAATCATCATAGGCGTGCAGCAGAGTATTACGACACCTCTGCATACTCTTGTACAACCATGGAACATTTAAAACCATTTAAAATGTTAAGAAAAACTGAATTACAACAACATAAAAAATAATTAAATAAAAATGAACTTAAATAAGGCTAAACAAAACTCAACAAGACTACTGTTCCAAGGGTTCAGAGCTAATTCTTTCACCTTGTAATGAGCTAATTCATGAAGCCCTCTGTCATGTGTTATGTAAACACCACAATATATGGATGTGTAGTGAGAAACTGCATGGTCTCTGGGGATAGTTCCATGCCTGTGCTTTGCAAGCAGAGGAGCCGGTGTTGAGTTCATGTGACTGCCATGAAAGCTGGGATGCTAATGTTATGCACGCTGCCAGGATGGAGTTGTTGTGGCCTGTGCAGTAAGCTGTGGTGGAGCACGGTGGCTCCCACTCTGTCCTGGGGTCACTGGAGAGAAGAGTCACGCTAAGACAAGCACGTGTATCCTGCTCATTTCACGTGACTGATCTCTACCAGCAAGCAGCCCAAACCATGAATTATTCACTCTCTACTGTGACATGGAGGAAAAGCAAAAGGAAAAGATGAAAATGGGATACAATGGTTGATATAATGCAGAGAAATGGGTGTTTTTTTTTTTTCAAACTCTTGCTATTACTTTCCAAGGTGGTCCACAATTTTCAACCAAAAACATCCCCATACCATATACACAAAATCAACCAATCCCCTCATCTACATGTCTCTGGACAAATATTTGGTAAAAATTCACATTTAGTGAGGAGAAATGTAAAGACCAAAACTGTGACACATCAGAGCAAATGTTGGTTGATCATGAATTTTGTTAGCAAATCGGCACTTTTAATAGAACAAGACAGCTAACAGGCAAAAATGTCCCCGCAATGAAGACTTAGAGTCCAGTACAAAGGCACGGATGTCTTTAGTCTAGCTCACACTTATGGTCAAATGACAGAAGCAGAAGTAAAATGCTAGTAAAAAAATATATCCACAAACATGGTTGTTAATTCTTGTGCTATGAGCTTTTTTTTTGTGTTAGTAGTGGAAATATAATAACATAAATAAACCATCAAATGGTAAAAGTGTGGGCACATCTTTTCCTTTTTTTTTTAAAAACATGATTTCTGAGAGGACCATACACTATCTCTTGTCAGATTACTTCAAGTAAACTAAAGTCAATGTAGAGTACAGGCCCCCAGAGGTTTCAGAGAATGAGTAAACAGAAGTGGGAGTTCTGACTTCACCCCTTCAACTCATGACACAGATGTATGGGGGCACACTCCGCATCCGAGCAGTGTAACTCCAGAGGCTTTTGTCACAGGTGACTGGAGGACTGACGTCAGCGTAACCCAAGACCACACTGAACTATAGCAAACAAGTCAGCTATAACCACGACTGCCTGACAGCTAGATCAGCAGTTGGAGGACTGCTTGAACAGTAATTACAGCGATATTTTGGACTATTTCACACAAACTCACTCGCAGTCACACATCAGCCCACTTTATGTGTTTGCAGGATACATTGCTGACCCAGATTCACAAGCTCAGCATGGCAGTGAATGTATGTATTTATGAGGAGGAGGATGCATTGAATGTGATGAATCTTTATGATATCAGCTCACACACTGCAAGAGCAGCTCTGGCATTAAATCATCCATCCACATGTCAGGGTCTTGGTATTATGATGATACAGAATCAGCATTGCCAAGTCTGTTCAGATATAACATTGTGCTCCAGATGCTACAGACAAACAAGTGTTTTACTGACAGGAAAGATACAAGGTCGCTTTCCAGGACAGGCAGATAAGCTGTAGTGTAAAGTGTTGAATTCAGAGTGTCTCATGCAAAGTAACAGGTGGATGGAGACTACGCCCAAACATGGGAGTCATGGAAAAAGCCTCCCAGAACACCAAGTCAATCCACTGGCACACAGGCTGTGTGGACCACAGGTCTTCTCCAAGAGGCCAGAGCAAACTGCTCTGCTAGTGCTCATCTTCACACACATATTTTGCCTCATCAAGGAGGGGGACGAGTCAGGTTACAGAAGCTTGGTGAACGACATTCTTGTTTATGGACAGGAGAATGACCTCATCCTCAACATAAATAAGACAAAAGAAATAATAGTAGACTTCAGGAAGAACCCCTCCCCTCTGCTGCCGCTGACCATCAAAGGGACTGAGGTGGAGAGGGCTGACAGCCACAAGTTCCTGGGCCGGCAGGTGACATCTGACCTGAGCTGGTCACTGAGCACAGCTGCCAGTGAAGAAAGCCCAGCAGTGGCTATACTTCATCAGGCAGCTCAGGAAAGCTGATCTGAACTGTCGCCCTCTCACCCAGGCTTATAGAAGAGAGAAGCAACACGTGGACAGAGAGAAGAAAGTGGATCAGAAGAAGCCATGAGAAAGATCAGGTAAGTGGTGCAAAGAGAAGAGGAGGTGAGTGGGGTGAAGATGGGGAGGGAAAATGAGAGGAGAGTACATGGCAACAAGAGCAGAGATGGAGAGCCGCAGTAAGGCTGATGGCAAATACGAAAATGTGAGAAATGTGAGAATATATGTGCAATATCCCCTTACTAGACATGCGCAATAATAATACAAAAATGTTCCACAAGGCATTTTTGTAAGAGCATCTCATTAACACTGTGGTGGGACCTGAATTATAGCAGGACATTCTCTACCAAGCAATGGAAGCAATCTTGAATATAAACTGTGTTTCATTATATTAGAACCCCTCACTACCTCTCCAAGTGTAATGACATATCCAATTCCACCATGTGAATTACTAAGTGCAATGTTTGAAGTTCACTGGAGAAAATACTATTACCCTATTTTTGTGTATTGTGGATTTAATGCTTTGTTGTCTTTATGTAACTTTTTTTATTTTAAGACTAAGTGTTCTTTCTGGCTTTTGACTCCTTACCCGACTCCAAAGGAGAGCTGCACAAGAATTCCTATATGCCTAGACTGTCTGTTTATGCATAAATGGCAAATAAAAAATCTTGAATCCTTGAATACACACTCCACACTCATAACATGGAATCCTTGAATACACACTCCACACTCACAACATGCTCTGCTCAGACACACACACACACAAGCGTAGCATTGTGACCTTTCCTTGATTATTCAGTGCGATTCTGGAGGCTTGTGTGTAAGTGGCCTGACCTGTCTTGAGTGCATTGTAACAAAGAGGATAACCTGAGATCCAGAGATGAGATTCTCATGAGAAATCCCAGGTAATTCCACTGAATTTTATCAATTTTATCATGTGACCGGTGTGAAGCTGGAAGAATACAAACATCTGATGGTGAAGAATCGTTTATAATGAACACACCAACAAAAATGTCTAAATGGAGACACATTGCAGTTCCAGAACTTCTTTTATTAAGAGCCAACGCAGAAATAATCATTCCCCCCTTGCATAAACCAAACGGAGTACAGTGTTTGGGTCTGACAGGGGACTGCCTCCTGTTGCGTGCTACATGTGTGAACAGGCAACTCTGGACAATGTGCAGGCTTGATTCTGGAGACATTGTCCAGAGTTCATATGTGAAAATGGCTTTACAGTGCATTGTTGCATTAGCATGCAGCAGTCATGGAAGAGCCTAGTTAACCAAGTCATAACTGCTTTGTTGCTCAATTAGAATAGTGATATTTTTTTCCAAAATGATGTTTCTTATCGTTAGAGTCTGCGCTCACTAATGAAAAACTTGCAGTCTTCAGCTTTTAACAGTAATTGGCTCCTTTTGCCTCCTGATGACAGCCTGCACAGCTCCTGGCCTTGACAGACAGTACAATGTGGTTAATAATGTTAAGAGCTCAAAACATTACTCAACTGACACCACTGGCCCAGATAACAAATGCAATATCTACAATGTGTGCATCATTCCCCTTGGTCCTAATTTATATAAAGATAATACATGCAGATTTTATCCTTATTTGGGATTCATACAATTTAATGGTTTATAATCAGGCAATAGACAAGACTGAGACACTGCCACCCAGGCAGCTGATGCTACATTGCTTCTGACTGAAGGAAGTGTTGACAGGCTCTTTCCTCTAAACATGACTGATGTGGCAGCAAGAAATTCCAGTAGAGTAGTTGTAAGAAGATGAAGGAGGTACTGGCAAGAATTACTAAGGATTAGCACTTCAGGAACGATCGACTCAGGCTGCGCTTATTTCTT